GGGGGTACAACGAGGTTTGACTGCCCATTCCACGGAAGGGCGGAGGCATCTTGGCACATGATGTTGAACCCACCCACCAGTTACCAGTTGTGAGCCCAACAGTCTAACAACGAGACCACTTACACCTCTGAGGACACCCCTATTGCTACCACTATTCTGCCATTTTGAGTGAGTATTGCGTACGATCCATGTACGGTACGATACATGTACGGGAACCGGGACATATTTGGAAAACCTGAACAGATGGGTTATGGGGAAACACCAGGATATTATAGGACCTTTTGACAGCATGTGAGCGGAGACATGAATCGAGAACCATGATCGCTATCGTCTGTTTCAGATCTGGCACTTTATGGTGATGACATGGCAGTTGTCGAGAGTTCACTGATGCGCCATACAAACACAGTTTATAGCATGCAGGAGCTAAAACACAAACAATGAGCATCATGGTTTGTCATACTCAGTGAGACATGGTCTGCAACATTCAGTGAGGCTCTGGTCTGCCATACTCAGTGTTGCACTGTCTTCCATACTGCTCTTCACCAGTCTTCCTTGTCTTACTTGTCCACTGTGTTGGGGTCACTGCAGTCGGAACATATCCATGACTGGGATCCACAAGTCAGTTGAGAATGAGAAGAAAAACTCTTCAATGATTTTCTCTCCTCTCAAGATCCATCTTCCCTCCCTCTTCCTCTTCCTCTCCCTCTCTCTGCATCTCAATCCCTTTCCCTCTCCCTCCACAGCACCAAGACTTGAGAGAGCCCATGGTGCAGTTTTTGCCAAGTCAAAGAAGAAAAGGACTTGCACGTTGAGACGTTTGACTGGGAAATATCCTATCTATGCAAAATAGTCCGCACAGTTCTTGGGATATCTAGCTGTGGTCAGACGGGGTAGGGGGCGTGTCTGTCTGTCTTGTTCCGGTAGGCGTGACAGGTGAGGGTGGAGCATAGGATGGTGAGACCGCCCCCCATGGCCGCCAGGTAGAAGGCCCAGTACAGGTTACAGTCACCTGAGATAGATAAGATAAAGTGAGGTAAGATAAGATAAGATAAGATAAGATAAGATAAGATAAGATAAGATAAGATAAGATA